TCTCTCTCTCTCTTTCTCTCTCTCTCTTTCTCTCTCTCTCTCTCTGTCTCTCTTTGTTACTCGATTCCTCTCCATCGCCGTAGCTTTATTTTCTCATTTGCTGTAGCTCACACGTAAGACATATATATAAATATGCTGCTTAAAACCCATCCCAAAAATGTTTCCATATATTCAGAAGCGATCAAAACTTTCGAACGCAATAATCATCCATCTTCACCTACATCTTTATCATCATCATGCATTATTTTACATTGTATATTGTATTATATTATTACACAGTTTGCATTTATATCTTATATGCACATGCAGGTCATTGGCATGGCAGCCGCAGGATACAGGGGTCGATACGGTGGTGGATACAGGGGGTGGTTACGGTGGTGGATACGGACGCGGATATGGTGGATACGGCGGCGGATACGGTGGATACGGACGCGGATATGGTGGATACGGAGGCGGATATGGAGGATACGGAGACGGATATGGAGGATACGGAGGCGGATACGGAGGATACGGCGGCGGATATGGGGGCTACGGTTAAGGAGGTTATGGCTACCGCCGCTAACGCGGCGCACGGAGATACCGACTTGCTGTTAGTGTTTAGGCTCCTGAACGCTGAGCGCGATAATAGACCGTAGTATAGAGATCTATGTACATACATGGAATCGTGATGGGGATAGATGCCTCCAACTCAACCCCAATACGGCGATGCAATGTCGGTCATGAATGCGTGAATTGATGAGCATTTCAATAAATCGGAAATCTATAGGCATATAGATGTATTTCGGTAAATGAATTGAGTTTATTCCTGATTTGTACTTATTCGCATGTCTATTACGAAGATGTTTTGTCCAGTTTCGATGTACTGTAATACACGAAATATTTCTGTTTAAATAAAAACGCTTTCTTCTAAGAATAATTCGCTTGTTTGCAAATGTTTTCAACTTTATGCTGATGGACAAATATCCGAAATGGCAACATGCAAAATCACTGTTACCTAAAACCCCATATCACAAAGCTCACGAAATATATATATGCGTATAAAATAATAATCGTTACCAGAGGCCTGACCATAACCTAACGTTCTCATGGGAAGAATAACATAGGCAGCGTCGTTGTCGCTTCCTCTCATCCAACTAGCGCCATCTACTGGCGTGGCACGCTAAGTGTAAGATTCTTCCGGTAGGATATTAAGGTAGATGTCGCTCTCCCCAAATGTAAGAGTGTTAAAGCTACTCTCATCTGAAATGTTCCGTGACTGTCCACCATAACAATACGTGTCGCTGTTGGGGATCCAGCGACTGGGTGAATGCGTAGAGTTAGAATCGTTGCCAGAGCCCTGACTATAACCTAACGTTCTCATGGGAGGAATAACATAGGCAGCATCGTCGTCGCTTTCTCTCATCCAACCAGCGCCATCTACTGGCGCGGCACGCTGACTGTAAGAGTCTTCAGGTGCGATATCACTGTAGGTATAGCTCTCCCGGAGACTGGGCTCGTACTGCGGTCGTAGGTAGGTTGTGTGAGGTTGGGTGTAGCTTTTTTCCCCCTGTCCCGACTCAAACTGTTCCGGTACACTGCGGGATATGTCCGTTGTCCAAACACCCATGCCATGGTTATCGCGGTAATTTGTGGCGCTCTTCGTCAAAGAAGTAGAGGACTCTGAGTCATGCTTCCTTTTCGCACAGACGCCGACGATGACAATGATTAAGATGATCAAAACCAAAGCTGCGATGACAAGTCCGACAATGAGGGCCGTATTCGATGTATTTGGTTGGGGAGCAACGACGACTACAGACATTGAATTAGCAGAGTTCACATCTCCTACCATGTTAGCAGCTGAGCATGCGTAGTCACCAGCATTAACGAAACTAACCTGTTTCCTTTCGTAAACGCGGTTCACTTCTGCAGGAACTAGTGATTTGTTGCGAAGCCATGAATAACTTGGCTCGGGGTTTCCGTCTGCGTTACACAGCAGCCAAAGCGCACTGCCGTGCTTGACAGTCATAACGCCTGCCTGACTGTTACCGCTTACTCTGACCTGCCCCATGTACTGTACATTGAGCCGAAGATCAACTGACAGTAACTGAAATGATTTGTGGATGTCAACATGACAGGCAAGTATTTTGTCGTGATCATCGGCGGTAACGTACGTGTCAGTGTGCTGGACGTCGTTATAGTTCCATCGACTTCACTGACATGTAAAGTATTAGCTCCGTCTACAGATGTATCACCAAGTTTCCATGTTACTGTTCGTCCCGGGAAGCTTTTGTCTGTAGTGCAGCTAGCTTCATGCGGTCCTACATGTATTATTTCTGTGTCTGCTACAGCATTGCCGTCAATTTCCATGGTGACGTACGTTGCTGGCACGACCACGTTCACATTCATCTTGTTGCTGGACATGTATTCCCCAAACACACTAGTTGCTTTACACGCGTACAATCCTCTGTGTTTAAACTCGACTAACTCGATCACCAGCTCGTCGCCTGCAGCTTGTATCCCCTGGTCGTCGTGAAACCACGTGTAATATGGTTCTGGATAGCCATCAGCATTGCACGTTAACGTCAGTTTCTCTGTCTCTGTTAAGAAGACGTCATTTCCAGTACGGTTGCTGCTGCTGCTGATGGTCACAGTGTCTTTTATGTACAGGGTCTCGGCTAATTCCACTACCGCTAAGTCGCTATATGGATAAAAACATTGCATTGAAGTTCTCTGTCGTTATCAATCGGCGAGAACGTGTGACTCAGGATACTTTTTCTTGTAAATGTATTGTTTCTTGAACCCGCTTCCTTTGTTTGACTGGAGTCGGCAGTGATATCTTTACCATTCAGCGACCAGGTGATGCTAGCTGCGGGGTTACTGCTGTCCGATACACAAGAGAACTGTAGCGTTCCATCCGGTGATGAAGAGCTGTCTATAAGATACATGGAAACCGACTGTGGTGACACAAGCACAGTTAGATGACCCTTGTTAGAGAAATAGCCGCTCCCCGGCGCGACCTCGACTTGCAGCCATACACAATAGAACTCTGCGTCATCTTTCTCAACT